AATTGCAAGGGCTTTCTCGTAATATGTTATTGATTCTTCCAGTCGACCTAGTTTCTGATATGTATTTCCTAAGCTGTTCATGGTATCACCCACAGATGGATGGTTTTCACCGTACACAGCTGTAAAAATTGCAAGGGCTTTCTCGTAATATGTTATTGATTCCTCCAGTCGACCTAGCTTCCGATATGTATTTCCTAAGTTGTTCATGGTAAAAGCCACTGATGGAGAGATGCCGTTAATGTTTATATTTGAAATATATTCGACATGATTGGTACCCATTAAAACAATCAATACTTCTTTTGCTTTTGACAATATAGACTTCGACATTTCCAATGCTAAAACTACCTGTAAAAAGTCCTTTGCACTCTCTAAAATAACGTGCTCGGATAAAACTGGGGATAAACGGTCGAGTACATTACACACGTGATCTTCTAGCACCATTTCACTTGTAGACTCTTTGATGACGTAGTCGATTAGTTGTTTTGAAAGATTTTTCAAGTGGTTTACTAGTGGCTTTGTAACGGTCAAACCATCGACTGGACATTCATCATTAATGACTGGAATCTCAGAGAAAGCAGAAATCACCGTAAACAAGTCCACAGTACTTTCTCTTAGTTTTTCATGCTTTTGCAAACAGTGATAAACCACTTGATGGATGCTAATTTCCTTTGTTTCCTGAACCAATGAGCATACCAACGACGACGAACAAATTCGAACAGCAATCATATTCTTATCTTCGTGAGGCATACACTTAACAACATACGCCACGACATACTTTAAAGGAATGGGATCTGATACAATTGAAGATAAGAAACGAAAYGCATGGAACATGACATCTTCACTGATCTCTCTCTGGATGGCTAGATTCACTGCAGCAGTCATTGTTGCTTTGTACGTCAAACTTGTTTTCTTGTAAACTGTTTCTAGCTTTTCACGCTCACTCTCCAGATCCGTCAGACATTGAAGCCACGAATATTGTTTGTTAATGCTTCGGACACTTCGCACGTAAACTGCCGTACACGATAWAGCAAGAGGCTGAAAGTCTAAGGCTTTGCATACTTTCAACATCAAGCTKTGTTCTGCATTTGTATACCCAGATACCTTGGAAAGTAGTTCAAGGGCATCCTCTTGTATCATACCA